AGTCCCCACAATGCAGATATATTAGAATTTGTCCTTAAATTACAGTCAAACCCATTTACACAGTAACAGATTAAAACTTTTAAAAAAACCAAACATTACCGCCAGATATCTTACTCTATAACCATTAAAACAACAATTTCCATTAATTTCAGATGGAACTATTCACAGACTTGTATTATATTAAACTGAACTTCCAATTTTCACCACTGTTCAGCGCCAAGTAACATTTCCTCTGATCACGGAGCAAATCACGGCTTGCCTGGTCTCGCAATGAATCCTGAGTAAACCAAGGATACTAAGGATACATCGGACCCGTCCTTCAAATTTGGCAAAAAGAAGGACGCATTTTAAGGTCGAGGAGTCTTGGAATCCTACCAGACCTCGGCGCGAATCTGGCCTTCTAAGGACGCATCCCAGGATTTCGTACAGAGCATATAATACATGCTAGATTAAAAATGATCAGTCAGGGATTAGGAAAATAATAATGATAATTATATGCGCACAGTGTAAATATTTATATCATATGGCAGTCTTCTATACAGTGGTCATACATTAAAAAATGTTCATTATTTTTTTTTTCTCTTAGACATTGGAGTGGTGCATTTGAATGTTATAGAGCTTAACATGCTAAATTTGTGAGTAGTAGTAGTGTAAGTTTTTCACCTGTCAAGTTTTTTTTTAGATTTTTAACGTTACAATTTATATTTTAAATTTTAGTTTAAAGTATAGTTTGAAGAAATGTGCAGGAAGGATTAAAAAGCATGTTAACACAGTAATGTAGGCTTGAGTTCATTATCTGACGCATGCATATACACACCAGGAACTTGTAAACTTACTGAATTACTTTTTTATTGATATATATACAAAAATGAATATTAGGAACTATATTTATCAAACATTATACTGGGCAACTAAAAATTGTTCCTGGGCAAATGAAATGTGAAAGCCACTTGCCCGAAAGGCAAGTGGTAAAAATCCTAAACATCAACCCCTGAAACTGTCCTTAAATGATGCACACACAAAAAAGCTTAGTTTTACAAACCAGACTCTAACATTGCACTGAAAATATAATTTGTAAATTGTCCCAGTGTTAGTTTTTTTTTAATGATGATTATAAAGTTAATGTGTGTGCATATGAAACATTGAAGTCCTGCTTCCAGCCAGTTAGACATTACAGGGCCATTTCAGGATCATTTCACTTTGTGACCTGCCTCCAGACAGTTGGTCATAAAGCAGGGTTCATGCTGTTTTATGACCTGCATCCAGCTAATAGGGCTCACAATTTTTTGAAGCTAACATATTGGTGCCGAAACCCGGGAGTCAAGATCCAATTGTCCAGGACCGTGCGGGACCAAGGCCAAGACACTGTCGACAGCCGTCCCCCCTTCGCCGGACGGGGCTAATAGGTTGGTCCAACCCTGCCCTGGGCATCCTGGTGACGACTCCCAGAGGACTGAATCTGCACAGCGAAAGGGTAGGCCTGAAAGCTTTTGATCAAAAGTTGGTCTGGGACCATGTGAAAGCTATAACTGGTTGTAGTCGCAAGNTTACTGGCAAACACTCTGGCACTGGAGTGTTAGTCTCCTCCTCCTTAAGTAGGCCCAAGGCTGATGAGGAGATGAAAGACAGGTGTTGCAGGTGAGCACAAGCCCTCATGAAGGGATCCTTGGCGCCCTCTGGTGGGCAGGCCTCTGGATCCCAAGAGACAGCAGAAGCCCTCAGGAAGGGATCCTCGGCGCCCTGTGGTGGGCAAGCCTCCGGATCCCAACAAGTAGCTCCTGTTTTATTGCTTTAATTTCCTTTCTTGTTTTTACAGCATATTTTCTAAGCAAGTTGGGTGAATTTAGGGATCATTTAATACTTTTTTACTCATAGTTTAGTGAAATTTATTTTTTTCTATTTAAGGTAAATAGAACATTATAATTTTTATGTGTGCTCGTTTAACCACTTTAACTGTAACTAGAACACAAATAAGATATAAACAGTGTTTGTGTTTTGAAACAAATTAAAATTGGTCCTAGGAGATAAAAATGTCACCATCTGTAGAAAAGTCGTTCAAACAACTCTTTCTGTCTTCCTTCCTATAAAGCTTCACATTAAAACTACTTGGATGAAAAATGTAACCGGGAAAATACAGTTTGATCGATATCTCTGTGTTTGCATAGAAATATTTGCATATTATTGCGGAACAGAGCTGGATCTGAGATATGAGCCAAAAACTAAACCTACTTTTCAGATGCGATGTGAACAATATTGAAATCTTTAGAAAGAAAGAAAAAATCTCCAAAATAAAACTAATGAGGTCTTTATATATTAGAATAATTTTGGGCGAACAATATTCTCCATAAACACCTCGCTGCTGTAAACAGAAACGCTGTTTTCACCTTTAGAGTCGTCCTTTCATCAAATGAGGAAGCTCCTGCACTTTACCGCTCCTGCAGCTCTGCTCTGCAGTTTCAGACGCGCTTCAGACGCGCTTCAGCTCGCCCTGCTGCCTGTTTGTTCAGAAATGTTCTTTACTTTTGAATAGGGACAAAATCTGTTTGTCTGGATGCAACTATGAGATGGAGACTAAGATTACATCGCTCTGCCTGTTTCTGGGTAAGTTCTGCTGTGAACTTATATTAGACTTCATCTCGTATCTGTTGATGTTAAACTGCATCTGTTCAAAGTTGAACCATTTTCACCGCAGTAATCTGCTCCCTTCTAATACAAACATCTATGGTATGTATACAGATATAATATTTATTCATAGTATTATTTGCTTTTTATTTGTCATTTTTTGTTGACTTTCAGACATTGAAAGCCTTGAAGCATTTGTGGGAA